GGGCCTCCCTGTGACTACACTCTACACTTCACCCTAGCGGCCACAGTAGCCCTATGAGGTGGGTCTTGTTATACCCATTGCACAGATGAAGAACTGAAGCTTGGAGTTAAATATGTTTCTCCAGCTCAAAGTGGCAGAGCCAGGACTTGAACCAGGCTTGTCTGTGTCTAAAGCCCATGCTTTGCTCAGCTCACCCTGCTGCTTCTCATTCTATTTCCACTCCAGGGAGAAGCAAAGACATGGTCTCCAACGAGGTGACCCTCTTAACTTGGGAGAAAGATCTGCTAAACAATTCTCTTCTGAATCCCTGAGTTATGTAAGGACATGGGGGGGGGGGCGCTCAGGGGCCCAAGACAGTCCCAAGACGCTAGGAAGAGGCAGACCAACTGCCACCCTTTCTCCCAGGCCTCCTCCACTGCTCTGCCAGGTTGCAGATTCCAGGCCCAAGGTGGAAGGGGGATTTTCCAAAACAGAACAACAGGCCTCAGCAGGCCTGCACCCCATGGTTCCCAGAGCTCAGCGAAATTGTGTAAATACTCACACTCAACTCTCCCTGAACTTTTTTCCTTTTTAATTGGCTTCCTGGTTTTCTCAACTGCATATGCCAAGTCATTTGGAAACCTGATGCACCCATCTGCTTCTAGCACCCACCCGCTGCTAGGTTCTGAGTGAGATTCTGAAGTCTGCTCAGCATGTCAGCACCCTCCAGATTTCGGGGGTGTGCAGGGGGGGATGGTAATGGGAAATGAGCACCCCCCAGGGACATCTCAGCCCGAAGCTGCTGGGGCCCTCTCTCCATCCCTGTCCCGCCAGGGCTTCCCTGCTTTGACTGGCTGCTCCTGACCTGGGTTTGCTGTGTTCTGCCTCCTCCAAGTGGTAAATTCTTGAAGGCTGAGCTGAAGGTTTCCCCTGAATCCCGCAGAGCATGAGAGACTCTCTTCTCTGGCCCCCACATACTCCCTGAGCCTAAAGGCGGAGGCACTCCCCAACCCGGCCCCTCCTTGGCCACCCACACTCTACCCCTGAATGAGCCTGTCCATGAGCAGCTGTGGAGTTGGGAAGACCTGAGTCCCAACCTTGCTACTACTTCTCAGTGTCCTCATCTGTGTTGGTATAGTCCCTCCCCTCCCCATCCCTGTCCAAAACCCCTGGAGTATCGGGAGTGCTGGTTAAATGAGATATCTAGAAAGTGCCTCCTCTAATGGTGGGCATCTAGTGGGTGCTTCATAACCCAATAAATGTGAGTTATTTTTATTATAAGTCCCCCCAAAATACCCTGCTGTTCCTCATCTCCATGCCCCTGCCCACTAGGCTCCCTCTTCCTGGACTGCCCTGCCCAATCTGGTTTACCTGGCAAATCTCTCTCTACCTTTCATAACTCAGCTCAAACTATGCTCCCACAAAAGCCTCTTCTAAACCCAAACCTCCAGGCCCAGGTGGAAGAACAGATCACCCCTCTCCATACACTCCCTACCCCGGCACCAGCTCCCTCCCCAGCCCTGATGCTCCCACCTATCTCCCCACTGCCTGGGAACTCTGCAGGAGCAGGAGAAGGACTAGGGTCTCATTGCCCTCCTGACCCAGCACAGGGCTTGGCACACAGCAGACACTGAAGGAAACAATAATTACAGCCGGCCTTTACAGAGAGCTGACAACACATGCCTCTTCTTGTACTAGCCTCCCAACCCTCTGACAGATGTTTTGTTATCATTCTCATTTTACAGATGAGGAAATGGAAAAGCAGCATGGTTAAGTAACTTTTCCAAGGTCACAGACCTAGAGGCGGACTTGAGATTTGAACTCAGGACTCTCTGACTACAGAGTGCATGCTCTTAACCATTCCAGGTAAAAGAAGGAACAAGGAGGAAGAACAGCCACAAGGATGTGAGCTGAACCCCAGAAGGCACAGACCCTGCAAGTATCAGGGATGCTGGTCTTTGGGACATAGAACAGAATATGACCCTGCTCGTGCCTGATATGAGGAACTTCTTCATACTACCGGTTTCAAGACAGAACCAACCCTACCCTCCAGACAGCAGAGCATTTCTAACAAGCTCCCACGTAATGCCAATGCTGCCACCAACCGCCCTTTGGATAGTGAGGGTCGAAGGTAATGGTCAAAGTGGGGTCTCTCATCATCAGCTGCAAGTGGGAGCTTATTAGAAATGCAAGTTCTGGGGCGCCTGGGTGGCTCAGTCGTTAAGCCTCTGCCTTCGGCTCCGGTCATGGTTCCAGGGTCCTGGGATCGAGCCCCTGCATCAGGATCCCTGCTCAGTGGGAAACCTGCTTCTCCCTCTCCCTCTCCCACTCCCCCTGCTTGTGTTCCCTCTCTCGCTGTCTCTCTCTGTCAAATAAATAAATAAAATCTTAAAAAAAAAAAAAGAAAGAAAGAAATGCAAGTTCTGAGGCACCTGGGTGGCTCAGCTGGCTAAGCGTCCGACTCTTTATTTTGGCTCAGGTCATGATCTTGGGATCATGGGACTGGGCCTCACCAGCAGGCTCCATGCTCAGCACAGAGTCTGCTTGAGATTCTCTCTCTCATCTCCCTCTGCCCACCCCCTCCCCCCCACAGGCCCTGGCTCGTGCTCTCTAAATAAATAAATACATACATAAATACATACATACATAAATTTTTTTAAACGATTGTATTTATTTACTTGTCAGAGAGAAAGAGCACAAGCAGGTGGCGCAGCAGACAGAGGGAGAAGAGGCTCCCCACTGAGCAGGGAGCCCGATGCAGGACTTGATCCCAGAACCCTGGGATCATGAACTGAGCCGAAGGCAGACACTTAACCAACTGAGCCACCCAGGCATCCCAATAAGTAAGATGTTAAAAGAAAAAAAGAAAGAAGTGCAGGTTCTGGGGCGCCTGGGGGGCTCAGTCGGTTCAGCATCCAACACTTGGTTTCAGCTCAGGTCATGATCTCATTCTCATGGGTTGTGGGATGGAGCCCTGCATCCAGCTCCACCCTCAGTGGACAGTCTGCTTGAAGATTCTCTCCCTCTGCCCCTCCCCCCACATGTTCTTTCTCTCTCTCAAATATTAAATAAATCTTTAAAAAAGAAAAGAAAGAAGAGAAGAGAAAAGAAAAGAAATGCAAGTTCTTGGGCCAGCCCAGACAGAAACCCTGGGGTTACACCCAGCAAGCTGAGTGTTAGGAGCCCTCCAAAGGACTAAAATGCATTAAATCGGAGAACCTACCAGGCTTGCATACATTTTTTAAGGCCCAGCCCTACCCTAACCCATCCGCTCAAAGCACACACGGAAGTGAGTGTGGTGATGTGGGTCAGCCCTGAGAAGGGAGCCAGTGGCCCTGGGATCAGCCCTGGCTCTGTCCTTGCTTAGCTCTGTGACCCAGGGCAGGTCCCCACCCTGTCTGAGCCTCAGAGCCCTCAAAGCAAGGATGCTGGGAGCTGCCCTCCTGCGGCAGAAGATGTCCTTGACACTGTACCATTCCCTTCCAATCCCCATGCCTATCCCTGCAGTTCTCCATCACAAAGACTCAACACCGGTGTAGTTTCCTATCATAATTCTTGACAAATTCAAATGTTCCTTAAAGCCACAGAAGTTCCACTAGAGGAACGACAATAGTGACGCTCCTCTGTTGGAAGAACAGGGTTGAGGGGGGTGGGGCGCACGTGCAGATGAATGAATGATTTAGCTACCAGGAAGGAGTTACTAGAAAATAGAGTGGAATGCAGTCAAACTGGTAAACAAGAGAGTATCATCTCTCCGCCGTTAATACCACTCCCCAACACCTCTCTGTCTGTACATCCTTCTACCGGCAGAGACGCAGACCTGATCTGGGATGACGACCAGTGCCAACATCTAGGTAATGAGATTGGAGGTACTTCCCGGCTTTCCCCTCTAAGCCTTCCTGTACTATGTGAATTTTGTATAAAGAACATGTATTATTTTTTCATCAAACAATAAAAACCATTACTTAAGAAACAGCATGATAAGCATATTATTTATCAATGCAGGAGGAAACGTGAGAAGAGTTAGAAGTGTCGTCACTAGAAACGGATGGAGAAGGAAGGTGGTGGAAGCAGCTTGTTTGTGTGTTATTTTGGTTAAAAAAAAAAAAGTATGAAAAACACAAAGAACTTCTGACACCTGCTACAACAGGGATGAACCTTGAGGACATGATGCTGAGTGAAACACACCAGACACCAGAACACAATGACTACACTTACACGAGGTCCCGAGAGCGGTCAAAATCAGAGACAAAAAGCAGAATGGAGGTTACCAGGGGCTGGGGCTCGGGCCGGGGGTTCGTGTTTAATGGGGATGGTGTTTCAGGGTGGGATAATGGAAAGTTTCTGGAGATGGATGGTGGTGATGGTTGCCCGACAACATGAATGTACTTAATGCCCTGGAACTGTGCACTGCAAAGCTAGATGATAAATTTTACGTTATATGTACTTTACCACAATTTTTTTAAAAAGGTCAAGGAGAGAAGAGACATGAAAACAAAAAAGGTGTGTTTTGATATATACGTCTGATATACTATTTTCTATCTGTGAATGGAGGCGGACTTGTCCCTCTGTCCTTCACGCTCACTCAAACTCTCTTGATTAGAAGCAGGAGCAAAAGGGCACAGACCAGCGCCTCCCACAGTGCACGCTGGCCTCATGGGCAGGACCACTGTGTGGCGAGGGGCTGCCCTGCGCTCTGCAGGACATCGAGCATCCCTCGCCTTTTCATCCCAGATGCCAGGAGTCTCCCCTGCCCCTAGCTGTGACAACCAAAGATGACTCTAGACATTGCCAAACATCCCTGGGGGACAAAATCACCCTCAGTTGAGAACCAGTGGGTCAGACTGAGCCAGTGGTTACGGTCTGCGTTCTGTGGCCCCGGACAGGTAAGACACCCTTGGCCACCGTAAGAGTGAGGATCCCCCACACACTCCCTCCCGCCCACAGAGGCCAGGCTGACAACCCTCAGGCAGACACTGTGGGGGTCTGCCTTCCCATCTTCCCCCACAGACACCCCTTACCCAGCCTGATGTTTCCCTCGAGGGTCATCAGTACGTTGCCAGCTTTCAGATCCCGGTGGATGATCTTCTTGCCGTGCAGAAAGTTGAGGGCTTCCAGCATCTGGCGGCAAACCACCTGAATCTGGGGCTCCGTGAGGCCTCTGTCCAGCTCTGCAAACAGAGCAAACCACTGTCCAGTCAGCATTCACTGCATTCAGGCAGGCTGACTGTCAGGCTCATGCCAGGTACAAGAAATACAAAGGCCCCCAACATCCCTAAGCACTTACCATGTACCAAGTTCACTTCCAAGCACTTTCCATGTTACCTATTTTGTCCTCATACTAGCACTACGGAGCAGGCACAGTTATTACCTCAGCTGACAGATGAAGAAGCCAAGGCTCAGAGAGGTCAGCCCACCTACTCAAGGTCACACAGGCAGAAGCTCACAGATCTTAGATTCAAGCCAGCCAGTCTGCCTCAGAGCTCAGGTTCATAAACAAAACCCCTCCAAGAGGCCAAGGCCCATTCTGCAAGCAGGCAGTGGGTGACATTCACTCCGTGTCAGCTCCACGCTTGCTGCAGGGACACGGAGAGGGGCGTGGGAACGGCGAGCCATGCTCAGGATAGAGTGGGATGTGGGTGGGGGCTGGGAGCGGGCAGGATGGGCAGCAAGCCCTTCTGCCTGGGAATTAGCAGGCTCCCCAGAAGGAAGGGCATTCAAGCTGTGTCTTGTAGGAAGAACAGGTGTTTGAGAGGCGAAAAGTGGGGCCAGGGCATTCCAAGTTATTCCAGGGCATTCTAGGTCAAGGAAGCAGCAGAAGCAGAGGCCTGGAGGCTGACACGGGCTGGTGTTGAAGCAATGTGTGCTGGTCAGGGAGACACACGCACGCTGGTCCATCCCAGTGTCTGCTTATAGATGGCGGGGCCCCTCTCTGAGCAGGTGGTGGGGGGGAGCACAAAGAGGAGTTTTCCACACAGGGGGCACCGCATGTGCAAAGGACCCTTTTTGACTGAAGGGGAAGGATGAGGGGAAAGCGAATCGAGGTCAGAGGTCAGAAGGGCCTGATTGTGCAGGACCTCGCAGGCCATCTATGAAGGCTACACTTTCTCTGAAACGCAATGGGCAGTCCAGGAGAGGCTCGAAGCAGGCAGAGACAATCTGACTTTTGCATTTAAGACATTCTCCCTAGCAGGGTGAGCGAAGAGCCTGCAGGGGAGCAAAGAAGACAGGGAGCTCGGCTGGGGGCCGTCACGGTGGTCCAGCCAAGGCTTCGCAGAGGAAACATTCCCGACCCAAAGGCTGATTTCTCATGACAGAACGTGAGACGGAGAGGGAGGGAGGGCATGAGAAGATTCAAGGTCAACATCCTGTGCTCACTGACCCACTGGCCATCGTGACTGTTTAGTGCTTGTTGCCACCAAGCCCCCTGTGCTGAAGTGAGCCCCCACTGCCCTGCCTGTGGGGTCCTCGCCGCGGGGTCCTCAGGCGCAGGCTCCAGGGCCGGCTGGCCAGGGTGCTGCTGCCAGGCCTCCCTCTGACTAGGGCAGCACTCCCCCATCTGTCTCCCCCCGCCGCGCCGGGCCAGAAATCCTCAAGGATGGATCCCACAGGCTTGGGGAACATCTACCAGACGGGGTGGAAGAGCCAGCAGCATTGCCCTGGGAAGCCTGGCCCCAGACCGACCACGGGTCCCTCTCTGGGGTCTCCAACCCCTACCGCTCCCTGCGGCCTCATCCTTAACTCTCGTGTCCCCCCAAACCACGGACAGACTCAGAGCCATTGGGGGGGGCATCAGGACCACCCAGACAGCCTGAACCGAGGCACTGCTCCGTATTAGCTACATGCTTTCTTGAAGGTGCTCCATCTGTCTGTGCCTTCATCTCCTAATCCATAGAATGGGATGATGGTAAGTGATGTAGGCAGGGCTCCAGCCATAAATTCACTCCTGGCTGAGTTCACTCCTCAGCATGAAGGACAGTCAATAAAAGGTGATTATTGTTATGCTGGTCCTGAGATTATGCTGGATTATCTGCAGCAATTTTTTTAAATGTCAAAATGTGACTTGCTCATATCTGATTTCTCGACATAAATGAAATCAGAATAAGCAAAGTGATGATGATGATGGTGATGGTGGTGATGGTGGTGATGGTGGTGATCTCATGGTCACCATTTTCTGAGCCTTTACCGATGTACCTGGCATGGAGTTAGGGACTCGGATGCATTCTTTCATTTAATCTTCACAATAACCCAATAAGGTAGAGAGACCTTTTTTAAGCCCAATTTATTGCGATATAATTTATCGACAGTAAAATTCATTTTCGTTTACATATACAATTCTACCAATTTGGACAAACATATATAGTCATGTAATCACCACCATGATTCAGATAGAAAATGTTTCCATCACTCCCCCAAATCTGTGTGTGATCAACATTTCACCCCCATCTCCAGCCCCTAAGCTATCATTACTTTGATTTCTGTCCCCATTGTCTTGCCTTCTCTAGAATGTCATATAATTGGAATCATACAGTATGATAAATTCTTGAGATTAATTTTTGATTACACAGCAATATATGAATATTTTATTCAAATTAAAAAAATCTGCAACATTGCAGATAAGTCCTACGTCTGTTTGAAACCATAGCCAGTCCCACCCCACCCCCCTCCTCCGCAGGAGGGCTGAGAGCCAAGCGTTTAAGAGCTGGCAAAGCAAGGCCAACCGGATCAGAGCAAACACTGGGTGTTAACTAACTAGAGGGGCCATGCAGTAAAATGCAGTGCATATTCCCCTCATCTCACAAAGAGGCCAGCCCAGCGCCCCACAGCTACCCCGCAGAGGAACCTAGAACAGACCTCAGGTCTCTTGGCCCCCACGTCCAGGCTCACCACTCTATGTGACTCCACAGGGCGACGGGGAGATGCTAAGGGCAGAAAGTCCCTCTAAGCAGGGCAGGGCATCTGTGGGAGAGTCCACCCCTCATCATGCAGCTGCAACCAGGGCCAGGTCTCACTTTGTCAGGTCTCCCCATCCCACCTTCTCTGCTCCCACCTTGACTTCTAGAATGCTGATGGCAATGTTCCTTTAACTGCTGCCACCAGCAGGGAGAAAACCACCTGGGGCTGGAGCAGTCAGGTCCACCAGGAGAACTGAGACAGGGAGTGAGTCTGCCTGCAGGCCGAGCCACAGCCTGGGGTCCTGCCCCAGTCATGAATGAGGTCAAGGACTTGCTATGCATAAATACCTCTTCCATCTCTGATATTCTCCCACAGGCCTCAGCGAGCTAAGCTCACACCTGGAGAGGCAGAAGCTGGTAGGTGGCTCCCACTCGCCCCTACTTTTTTAGTATCTGAACACACGGCCACCCAGCAAGAAGACCACATTTCCCAGCCTCTCTTCCAGCTATGTGCTATTATGATCTGGCCAATGAGATGTAAATGGAAGTGTCATGTGGGGCTTCTATAACAGCTCCTTTAAAAAGTGGAAATGGGGTGTGTGTTTGTCAAGTTGTCCTACCCTCCCTTCTTCTATCCTGCTGTTTGGAATACAGATATGATTGCTGGAGCTCCTACAGCCACCTTCTCACTGTGAATAGAAAGCCAGCATGAGAATAGGACCAACACAGAGGAAAGTGGGACCAAGAGTTGGAGAAGGAAACCAAGGTCTTAGGAGAACGTTAAATAAATAAATTAATTAATTAATTAATTAATTAAATACAATAAACCAAAAAAAAAACCTCCCAGATCAAGCTGTGCCTGAAGCCAGGAACCGTTGAACTTTTTAGTTATTTGTGCAAATAAATTCCCTCTCCCACATCTCCCACCCTTTTTTCCCACTAAACCAATTTAAACAGTCTTTGATCACCTTGTAACCTAGAGAATCTCACTCACACAAGACCACCATTTTTATTTTGTTAAATTCTACCCAGAACAATGAAAATCTTCAAAGGTAGTCTCTGCTGAGAGAAGGAACACCCAAGGGCCATATCACAAGTACTCACATCCAGTCACCTACTGTCATTTCTCCATCTGAGCACCCTGTGGTAAGGGGCTCTCAAGAAGGGCCAGCATTTCCATAGCTCTGGAAAGGGCTGCCACAAACTCAAGAGATTCCTGAGATAAACTAAGGGGGGAAATACCTTCCTCACAATAAAAGAGTAGCTGGATGGTGCTACATTAAACTGAAAACCTCCCCTCTCCTGAGCCACCTCACAATCCTGGGCCTGCTTCTCAATATTCTGGGGCCCCAGGCCCCCGGCCTTTCCTCACTCACTGCCCACCAGACCGGCAAGACCCAGGCGCCCTTCTCAGTCCTGCTGTAGGACATTTGGCCAGCCCCTTAACCCCTCTGAAGTGTCAATCTGGTCAGGAATAAAACAGGAACACTCAGATCAGATACATCAAAGTACCTACCCCAATCTCTGGCATACAGTGACTAGTCACAAAATATTCACAAAAGTGATTTTTTTTTTTTTTTACTGTCCAAGCTTGTCTGGGATATCAAAACCTGGTAACATCCCCATTAAGCTCTTACAAAATGGGTGTGGGGATCCCCACTTTTCAAAGAACCTCCCTCAGGTGTCTCATTTTCACTTCCTAAGGGTGGTGTGGGGTGGGGCAAAGGAGCCATCACACCCATCTTATGGCCACCGAGGCTTGAGGGGGTGAGTGACCGGCTCAAGGACGCACGGCTTTTTGAAGAAGTGTTGGTTTCTAATGAGTGCCTGCATTCTCTCCAAGAACCCAGCCCCTGCTTCCAAAAGGGGACAGAGCGAAAAGGTACTCCAACAGGCCATGTGAATTGCTGGGGCGGGGGGAGTGAAGGAGAGGGAGGGCCTGGGTCGGCACCAGTCCTAGCCTAGGGCCCTAGAGCCCACCCCAGCACCACCACATTGGATCAAGAAAGACTCACCCAGCATGATGGCATCCACAGCTCCCCCAGGACAGAACTCGATCATGATCTGCAGAAAACACAAGGCAAAGTAACAGTGAGCAGGGGTGCATGGCCCAGGACCCGGCCCCAGTCCTGGCAGGATCAGCCAGCACCCAATGCCCTGGCTCCCCGGCCTCTCCTCCTCCTGCCCCGGGGCCTGTCCAGTCTGCACTACCCTAATCGGAGCCCAACCCTCACAGGAGGCTCTAAAATCCAGAAGGGTTGCTGGGCATTTTGCAGCGGAAAAAAGAAAGTTGCCATGGAAACCCACAGCTGCCACGGACAGCTTTGCCCCCAGGCCTGCACCTTCCCTGCTCCTCTGCCTGCCCCCCTCCTGGGCCCCCACTTGCCAACTGCCCCTTCCTAAGCTTCCCAGCCAGCAGTCCCAGCAGCCCCTCTGCCCGCATACAAGCCGGCCACGCCCTCGCCGAATCCCAGCACCCATCTCTTGCCTCTCTCCATCTTCTAGAGGCCAGGGCCCTCGCTGGCGTGGAACACCAGAACATCGGCGCCTTGAAGACCAGCTCAGGTGTAGAAACCCAGAAAGGGGATGGGGCTGACGAAGGCCACAGATGATTTAGTGGCAGGTCCTGCACTAGAAAGGTTTCCTAACTCCCCAGGTCATTCATTTACACACGCATTCATTCATTCATCACACACCCAGTAGGTAGCGGGCCCCCGGAGAACCACCAGACCCAGGCCCTCAAGGGGCTCCCAGCCCAGCACAGGGGCCAGAGAAGGACAAGAAGACTGCGAAGTGCCATTGGTGCCGACCCAGGCCCTCCCTCTCTGGCTCTCTCCCATCCTCGCTCTTTTTCTGGGTTCCTGGCACGCGTGCAAAGATGCTGTATTTTCCTGAAATTACAGAAGCAAGTAGGTGGGGACGGGGCAGAGCCTCACGGACTGTAGCAGACGTTCCTGAAATCTCCTCCCGGCTCCCAGCACCCGGCCCTGCTTGTGGCAAAGTCCCTCCAGCTCAGCTTGGCAGAGGCAGGCACCAGGCCGTGGGGCCCATCATTCTCGCAATGGAAAAGAAAACTGCTGCCATGACCCCCTGGGCCAGAGCTGCTCTCCAGCCAGAGGAGGGAGGAGAGGCCTCAGTGTTTCCATGAGTCTCCAGCTTGTGGTGGACCTTCCAGAGACTTCCCGGCAATGTACATATAAGGATGCAGTGATGCAGGGCTGGACCCAGGTCCCCGGCCCACTGTTCACTAGCTATGGCCTTGGGACACTAGAGGTACTAGATACCGGGGGTAGCAACACAGTGCTGGCCCTCTGGCAGACAGGCCTGCACCACGCTGAGGGGAGGCTCCACGGCAGGGGACAGAGCCACGTACGGGGACACCACCAGCTCGCACACCACCTCCTGCCAGGGAGGATGTGGCCTCTGAGGCTCCCAGGGTCACTCCAGTCGTGCCTGACCAGTACTCCCCCAGGACTTCCAACACTACGGCGACCCTGGACAAAAGCGATCGGAGATGAATTAATGTCCTACAACCCAGAACAGTGAGATGTACTTCTTTCTCCGCCTCATTCATTCATTCACTGCTTCATTTAACCAACCACCAACCAACCAGACATGTTCCCAGCGGTCAGGGAACAGAGGTGACCCAGACACAGGCACTGACCTCTTGCAAGACAGCATCTCATTCTGCCTTTTAATAATTCTCAGGTCCCCAGAAGGGCTAAAAGCATCCCATTAACTACTAGAAAAGTCCAGCCCCAGCCACGAGAGGCAATGTGGAAAAGAAGCAAACTGTCATTATGCAAAACCACTTCCTACCTGAGCAGCCTGTAAGATGGGGGGATACACACCCAAACCCCACCAGAATGACAGGTCATCCAAGCCTTGCTGGGCGACAGGCATCCAGCTGGGGCTCAGTCAGTACAAGCTGTTACTAGGACTCCTTCCTTGAGCTCAAAGGTCTGGGATTTTTCTGTTCTTGTGTTAGTTTTGGACACTCCATGAAAGGTATCCTCTCTCCTCTCACCCAGAAAAATGCAAACAGGAACAAGTGTTTGCATGCAATTCTACTGAATTCTCACATACCCTGAAGTCCCCCCAAACCCAGGTCAGGAGCCTCCGCTCTGCCTCTCCAGCCCTTACTATGTGTGGCCTTGGGTAATGACCACCTCTCTGTAAAATGGGAGAATACTAGGGACCACCCAGAGTTACTGTAAGGACTGGATGAGGTGGTGTTTACAAAACAACAGGCCCTACACTGCCCACACAGCGAACACAGGGCAGGCTCAGGCACTTCCCCCTTCTCAAACAGCCTGTGGTTGAAAAGGACTTGAATTCGGGGCGCCTGGGTGGCTCAGTCGTTAAGCGTCTGCCTTCGGCTCAGGTCATGATCCCAGGGTCCTGGGATCGAGCCCCACATTGGGCTCCCTGCTCTACGGAGAGCCTGCTTCTCCTCCCTCTCCCACTCCCCCTGCTTGTGTTCCCTCTCTCGCTGTGTCTCTGTCAAATAAATAAAATATTAAAAAAAAAAAAAGAAAAGGACTTGAATTCAAGTCCTGGTACTGCCACTTAATTGGCTATGTGAATTTGAGTAAGTCACTGAATCGCCCCAAGCCTCAATTTCATCTGCAAAATGGCACTAATCACCTCTACCTCCAACGTCAAGGCAGTTAAATGAGATTCTCAACATGAAAGCGCAATAACCAAGCCACACCAATTAACGTGCTCCTGTTGGATCTCTCGCAAACAAAACCACCAGCCAGTGTCACACTCAGACCATGTTATTCAGGCTTCCCACAAATCTCTGCCTTCCTAGAACTACAGTTCATCAACACGCCCGCTGTTATCATCAAGACTCAGTGCGAGCTGTGGCCAGATCCAGGCAGTTCCTGCATTTGTCAGTGAAGTTGTCCCTTACACAATACCCTTACACAAGGTCTCTATGACCACCCTCTCCAGAGTTCAGCACTAGGAAAGCTTGAGCATCCTGCCAATCTGATTCGCTTCCCCTTCTGCAATTCAAGATCTCCATGACCCCATGCACTTCCCTTTTGTAATTTTTTAACATTTACTGATTGATTGATTGATTGATTGACTGATTGCTTTGGCTGCTGGGAAGCTCTGAGCTTATCTTTGGTTTTATTCCCAGGAATACATGTACCAACTTTTGGCTCCACGCCAGGATTAAACCCACAATATTTCACAACTTTCATATGGACCCCAATAAAGTGTTTTTTAAAAGATGACCATCTGGGGCGCCTGGGTGGCTCAGATGGTTAAGCATCTGCCTTCAGCTCGGGTCATGATCCCAGGGTCCTGGGATCGAGCCCCATGTCCAGCTCCTGGCTCAGCGGGGAGCCTGCTTCTCCCTCTGCCTCTCCCCCGTGCTTGTGCTCTCTCTCTCTCTATCTCTGTGTCTCGAATGAATAAATAAAATCTTTAAAAAAAAAAAAAAAAAAGATGACCATCCTGCAGAAGTCTAAAGAAGCAGCACTCTTTGGTATTAATCACGCATGTGTTAGAGTGATGTCCCATTAACCTTTGTGTAGCTTCTGCCTGACTATCCTCTCACATAGAGCAAAATATGGTTTGGGTTTTCTCTGCCCCCCTTTTTCCTCCCATCCTTTCGGCTTTAAAAATTTCACATCTTAGTGCCTTGATGTGATACCAAAAAAAAAAAAAAAGGTCCCCTCCATAACATAGCTGCTACTGGGTTCCATTACATGGATCTTAATGCTCTACCTTTCAGCTTGTCGGTGCCAGGGCTGCAGGGGACTTCTACAGAAGTGCATGGGTTTTGGCGCACCTGGGTGGCTCAGTCAGTAAGCGTCTGCCTTCGGCTCAGGTCATGATCCCAGAGTCCCGGGACTGAGCCCCACGTTGGGCTCCCTGCTCAGAGGGGAGCCTGCTTCTCCCTCTCCCTCCCTGCTCTCCCTCTCTCTCAAATAAATAAATACAATTTTTTTAAAAAAGAAATGCACAGGGTTTACTTAACAAAATAATCTCAATTAATAAAATAATGATAAATAAAAATAAAATAAGCATCTCACGACCTTAGGAAGTCACTAAATATACATGCTTAGAAAACAGAATGGAAGCACATACGTGAATACCCAGGGAAGGATTACAGGTGATGTAGACTTGTATATATGTTCCACATTTTAAGCAACAAATAGGAGTTATAAAAATATTAGAAGTAAGCTTTTTTTTTTTAATGGTAAGAACTGGCCTAAAATAACCCGTGGCTATAGCTGCATCTATTCAGCTGCAGGGGGATGGGGTATCTATGCCCGTCCACAATTAAAGCCCCAGCAGGCCTGTGCTCACTGTGTCCAGGGATGGTAAGAGGCTCCTGAGGATCAAGGGTTCCTGGTGCAAAGCTCAAGGCCTCTAAGCCCTCACCAAGCCCCAAATCCAACAGCTGCAAGTACCAAGGACCGACTCCTTGAAACCAGCAGAAACTCACCCTTCATGCTCCCTTAAGAGCAGCAAGCCATTTGGGGCTCAGGGTTTTCTCAGGACCTGGAGAAGTGAGGTTTGTGATCAGTTTAATCCATCAACAAGCACCAACCGAGGGTCCACCAGGGGCTCCACAGTGCTAGGCACAGCAGGGCCAGAAAAGTCATGTTTAATCAACAAATACTATCTGAGCTCTGTCTATAACAAGCCTGGGGAACTGGGGACCCAGGATGAGCCAGACAGGTCCCTGCCCCAAGACCACAGGCAGAGGCCAATACATGCACATCGTGACTGTGTTACCTAAAAACCTGTGGCCATCCTGGAGGGCCTGCCAAAGAGCGGCTTTGAAGGACACATTTGCCACATGAAGAAGGACAAAGACACTGCCGGCAGAACACGGCAAGAGCAGCGGCTACAGCCGCGTGGAAGAGTATGAAGGGGGGGTGGTTCAAATGGATGGGAAGAGAGCGGGTCACAAAGGTCACCTGGAACTAGAATTCAAACATCTTAAAGGATGAACTTGACCCTGAAAGCTCTTGTGTGTGTGTCTGGAGAAAGGCACCAGAGGGTTTTAATAAGCGGTGTCACAGACAGGTTTCTGCTTT